ATATCCAACTGTGAACACAGATTCTGGCGATTTTGGTTTAATTATTTTTTAAGTTGAGCAAAGTTATAATCTCTTGTGGCACAGTCATTACATTGTCCCTGAATTGGGTCCAGATGTTAAGTTTTCCTACAAATCACACAAGGCAGTGGATGAATACAATGAGGCCAAAGCTGTAAGTACATAGATTTCCTTGTTTCATGTGGTGTTATTATGTAGATGGAAATTGATAGGCCATCTTAGACTTACACTATCAAGCGGTTGTTGCATTTCATTTAAGGATATGTTTTGCAATCTAAATGAATTGTGGAAGTATATAAATGCCAGAATCCGTTTTACTAGAAATAGTTTTTTTCCACTTCTAAGTGAAATCTGGTACTTCACTACTCTGGAATGTTATAGAATTTGGGGTTGGATTTTCTGCTTCTTTTTCTGATCTTTATAAATGCATATACTTCCTACTATGCAGCTAGGAATTGACACTGTACCAGTGCTTGTGGGACCTGTATCCTACTTGTTGCTGTCAAAACCAGCAAAGGGTGTTGAGAAATCTTTTCCTCTTCTTTCACTAATTGATAAGATCCTTCCTGTTTACAAGTATGCATGGCCTTAATCTCTATTGACGTATATCCTTTTATCATAAATGATGTTTACATTATTCATGCTTCATAATTTATTGAAGGGAGGTTGTGACTCAACTGAGGACAGCTGGTGCTACATGGATCCAATTTGATGAACCCATGCTCGTCAAGGATCTTGATGTTCACCAATTACAAGCGTTTAGTTATGCCTATGAAGAGCTTGATTCAACTTTATTTGGTCTGAATGTTCTAATAGAGACATACTTTGCTGATGTTCCTGTTGAGGCATACAAAACACTTACCTCTCTGAAGGCTGTTACTGCATATGGATTCGACCTTGTTCGAGGGACAAAGACACTTGATGTAATAAAGAGGGGATTTCCACCGGGAAAATTTCTGTTTGCTGGTGTAGTTGATGGAAGGAATATTTGGGCCAACAATCTCGCATCTTCCCTGAGCACCTTGCAGGCTCTTGAAGATGTTGTTGGAAAGGGTAATTTACTTTTGATTGCATTATCTAATGATTACTTGTCGTATACTAGAAGCTAAAAGGTTCATTATCATTTGCTTCTGCAGAGAAGGTTGTGGTCAGCTCATCTTGTTCACTTCTTCATACGGCTGTTGATCTGGTGAATGAGACTAAGTTGGACCAGGAGATTATGTCTTGGCTTGCATTTGCGGCACAAAAAGTAGTTGAGGTAAATGCCTTGGCCAAGGCATTGTGTGGACAAAAGGATGAGGTGCACTTTCTTAGCCTTACTTTTTGGTTAAAAATTTAAACCTGCCTTTTACTAGGAATCCCAATTGAATAGTGATTTGAATATTTGGGGCTTGAGAAGTTGTTGAGTAGAGATTTATAATGGCATTAAAAAAAAAAAACAAATTTTCACCTTGCAGATACAGTTTATTTGCTAAAACCTTCTCAAACCACTTTATTGCCTTTTGTTGGTTGCTTTTCTAGATTTGTTCTGTCACTGAAAATTTTCATCTTGTTTCTGCGTACTGCTGTTATATTGAGACTTTTTAATCAAAAATAAATATATTCCATGATTTTGAAAATTCTCTCTTTTTCTGCTCTGGCAACTTGTTTATAATATAGTGGATATTCTTCGTCATATTACTGCTCATCTTTCTGCAGGTTTTCTTCTCTGCTAATGCCACTGCGTTGGCCTCAAGGAAGTCCTCCCCAAGAGTGACAAATGAGGCTGTCCAAAAGGCTGTGCGTGTTTCCCAAGATTATTCATTATGCTTGTACTATATATATTGACCTGTAAGTTGAAAGTATGCTACTGAGCTGTAAATTTATCTTTGCTTAGGCTGCTGCTTTGAAAGGTTCCAATCACCGCAGGGCTACAAATGTAGATGTTAGGTTGGAAGCTCAACAGAAGAAAATGAATCTTCCTATTCTTCCAACTACCACACTTGGATCTTTCCCTCAGACTGCAGATCTTAGAAGAGTGCGCCGTGAATATAAGGCCAACAAGTCAGCACCTATGATCATATCATTTTCTTTTGTTGTATCCCTAATCTCACTGTTTTACAAATTTTTCGTTTAAATTGGTATATCTACTTTGTTATTAGGATCTCTGAGGAAGATTACATCAAATTTATTAAGGAGGAGATCAACCAAGTAGTTAAACTCCAGGAAGAACTTGATATCGACGTTTTGGCACACGGGGAGCCAGAGGTAAGGAGCATATAATTTTGTTAAATTGGAAATTTAATGAGGACAACACTATTATGGAAATATTGTTCAAATAGTCATTACTGTTGTGAAAATGCTTTCTTAATTCAGAGGAATGACATGGTTGAATACTTTGGAGAACAATTATCTGGTTTTGCTTTCACTTCCAATGGATGGGTTCAATCTTACGGATCCCGCTGTGTCAAGCCACCAATTATCTATGGAGATGTAAGCCGTCCCAAGCCCATGACAGTCTTCTGGTCTTCAATGGCTCAAAATCTGACTAATAGACCGATAAAAGGAATGCTTACTGGTCCCGTTACGATTCTGAACTGGTCCTTTGTAAGAGATGACCAGCCTAGGTCTGACATTTAACAGCTTTGGCTACTCCTTAAACAAATTGTATTATGTTATGCCTGGTTATTTTAACATCAACCATCTGATTTTTGTTTTGGGTAATTAACTTTCTGATTTTAGATTTGAGACCTGCTACCAGATTGCTTTGGCCATCAAGGATGAAGTTGAGGATCTTGAGAAAGTTGGTATTACTGTCATCCAGATTGATGAAGCTGCTCTGAGAGAAGGATTGCCTCTAAGGAAGTCTGAGGAGGCTTTCTATCTTAACTGGGCTGTTCATTCATTTAGGATCACCAACTGCGGTGTTAAGGACACTACACAGGTCTAGTTTTTACGTTTCGTACTAAAACGCATTACATTACAAGTTTTTTCCCCCACTCGTTATTGATGTAACACACTCGCGCGCGCACTACTACTCATGCAAACAGAGACGGGGGCAGAGAGAGGGAGATCAAAGAGGGAGATGTAGACAGAGACATAAAGGGAGAGATAAAACCAGAAGGAGGGGGGATATGAAGAAAGATTTTTTTGGGGGGGGGGGGGGACAAAATGAGAGAGGAAGAAGTTGTCTAAGCATCGTGGGACTTAAGATTTCATTCATCAAAGTCTGCCATCCCAAAGGACACGAGGGAAATACGTACAGGTTGAGGCTTGCTTCTCATGAAGAAAACATCCCTGTGGCCAGTTGCAGCAAATGAAATAAAAAGCAATCCACTTGCCAGCAACAACAGAAAGTAAATAAAATAAAATGTAAAAGTATGATAGGTTTCCTCAAAATGTATTAATTCTTATATTCCATCGGTTTCACACTGGAGTCCGGACTCCATTTAACAGGTTACCATAGGGAAAAATATATAAAAAGGTGCAAAATTCAAATTTCCTCTGTCAGAATGGTTCAGACAGTTAATAGAGACCTATGAATTTGTGAAGCAAGTTGGTTTTCATTATTCTAAGTTTATGAAGATTGTAAGTTTTACCTTGAAATTTAATACCTCTTATGCTTTTGCTGGACAGATACACACCCACATGTGCTACTCAAATTTCAATGACATCATTCACTCAATCATAGATATGGATGCTGATGTGATTTCTCTTGAGAACTCCAGATCAGATGAGAAGTTACTTTCAGTCTTCCGTGAAGGAGTCAAATATGGCGCCGGCATTGGTCCCGGGATCTATGATATTCACTCTCCAAGAATCCCTCCTACAGAAGAAATTGCTGACAGAATCAAAAAGATGCTTGCAGTTCTTGAGAGCAACATTCTGTGGGTCAACCCAGACTGTGGCCTCAAGACTCGCAAATACTCTGAGGTGAAGCTTGCTCTTACCAATATGGTTGCTGCAGCCAAGCTTATTCGCAATCAACTTGTTTGTGATAAGTGAGTTTAAAAGGAGCAGACGAAGTCAAGGTTGAATTCTCTTCAGTTAATAAATTATTGTATGTAGAGGCTTAAAAGAGCAGAAAACATATGCAATGCAGCTTTTTAAATTGGAAACCTTAGTCCTTGAGTGGGGATTCATGTGCCTTCTTTCTTAAGTAATTCCTTCGCCTTTCGGAGGGTCTCTTTCTCTCCAGAATCTTCATTGTTAGGTTCTTCTTCTTGATCACCCACAATATAAAACTAAGAGAAAAATGAACAGAATCTTTTACAAACAAGTTTCGGTTTCGGTTTCGGTTTTCATGATTTCAAAATTGATTGATTTTACGCAATGGTTTTATAGCCTAGTAGCATCTTCTTTTTAAGTGGGAAGTCATGAGTTTGATTCTTTTTGGTTTTTTTCTTTTGGCCAACGAACATGGGTTTCATTCCGACTGTAATTTCAAATTATTAGTGTCAATACCACTCCTTTTAATGTCTTTGATACTCATCCCAAATCAATATATTCGATCTGGCATAATATCAAAACATTTCAAAAAAAAACATTTATTTAATCAATTTGTGCATGCACATTTGCAATTTATGAATTTTAATTTTTGTTCAAAAAAAATATGTAGATATAAAAAATTATGTGAGAAAAAAAATGCAAAAATTTGATCTTTATCGTCCAAAATGAAGACCAGTATCGTCTGCCAATGTCAGGAGGATCGAAAAAGGGAACATTGCACGAACTTTTGCAATACCTTTTTCCTTTTTATTTAGTATACCAAACAGGGCCAACCTATATTGCAGAGCCATATGGAAGCAGTTTATGAAGAATTTGGATAAATACAAAGAAAAGCCATATGCTAATATATATATATATATATATATGTCTACAAGAGCAAAAGAGAAAAAGACTTAGAGACATAAATTTCATTAATTATTAAAATTTATATTAATAATAATAAAGAAACATTTTATTGTTGAAGGTTGACGTGAAGGAAAGGAAAATTACAACAATTAACCTTGTAATTTGGAAATGGCTTCAAGAAATGACTTGCATGCTTGCCTGACGTATATGATAAGAACCACAGCAAACAATATGAGAAGGAGGATATTCACCCATTTCCTCGGCTGCTTAAAATCCTCAGATTCGAAAGACGGCTTCAAACTTATTGTGTAATCCAAAACCCTAGTTTTTGTTCTCTTGAACAGTCCCTGCTGGTTGGCTCCCGAACTTCCACCATTTTTAGAGGTTACAGCTTCTGATGATAAAGGTGGTATATTCTCAACCACCCCACTGGTTGTCACTTTCTTTTTCTTCTTAGCCTCTTGATCTTTTTCTCCTTCTTCTTCTTCCTTCTTCTTCTCCTTCTCTGGTACTGTCTCTTTCTGTTCAGAAACTTCACCTCTAGGTTTTGGTTCCGGTTTTTTGTCTTCTTCTCTTGGCTTGGATGAATCATCAGGTTCTTGTGGCTTTGAGGCTTCTTTTATGGAGAACTTGACAAAGAGCTTGCCACGTTCAAACTTGGCAGTGATGTCGTTTGTGTCGCAGTCAGAAGGAATAGAAATGGAGAATTCTTTGGTGATACGACGCCATTTGTTGTCACTTATTTGTCGTTCACCAATTATTTTTACCACAGGAGTTGAAGTGATTTGAACCTTCAGTTGATCTCTTCTGAACCCTTTGTATGTGTTGAAAAAAAATAACAAGTAACAAAGAAAATTTTAACCGGATGTTTCAATTGAAAAAAAAAAAACAAGAAGAAATTGAAGCAGATGTCTAATGGATCCCTTATGTTGATAGAATTTTGATAGGATTTTGTCTATATCTATAGAGAGGGAGAGAGACTAGGGTGAGGATGGAGAATTAATTTAATTACTAGATTACATAATTTTGTTTGAATTTTCTAAAATTTAGCTTGGGAGTTCATACAAAATGTTATATTTACTTTTATCTAAAATTTAATGTTATATTTATCTGTATCAAAAAGGAAATAATGTAACCAAGAATAATTTTTGGTCCCATCCAAACAAAGGGGAAAGATGATCCGTAAATCGTAGTCGAAAAAATGAGCGTTTTGAATCAAACGTTGGCTATACAGTTAATCCGCTGCAGATTTGTTTTTCATTAAAAAAAATAAAACCATTATTCTAAACAAAAATGAAATCACCTCAGATTAGGTTTTGAAAAAAAATACTGCATTAGTTTATTTGTAAAAAAATATGTTAATTTTTTTTAAAAATATCTTCTTTAATAATTTGCATTAGAACTATCCTGAACGAAACCCATTAACATGTACAATCAATAAGATAATTTAAGAAAAAAAGAATTTGAGAGACAAAATAAATTGAAATTTTACATTTAAACCCTTAATTAGCTTTTATATTTTAGACCGGAGAAAGTGATTACAAGGAAATGAAACTTTACCAGGCAGCTGAACAATTAAAGTTGCCGTTCTTTCGTCTCTTTCCCACTGAAAATCCGGTTCAAAGTCTTCATAGACACGATTGGCAGCAGATTGTGACTTTGGATCCATCAATTTCTTCCCTTGTTCTTCGTCTTTCTTTTGCTTTTAGGGTTTCTGCTATATATTATCTCCGATCTCTGATCTCTTTGATGGTGACATATATATAAACCTAGCAAGCTGTCACTTTTTATAAGCCAGAATTATCAATACTATAATGGTGCAAAATTCACACGCAAATCCTAAATAGTTTCCCGCAATATTTGTTTTTGCTTTATTACTTTCTTGTCGTGTAAAGTAAATCTTTGTTTTCTCTCTGTACGACTTTATTAGGTTGTTGATGCAAGAAAATATATATGCTTTGTTTCTTTGTCTGGGACTTCACAAGGTTGTCGGCATATGTAGTTCATGCAAGGTGGCAAATAAATAAATGATTAAATACATAAATATAAAAGAAAAAGAAGGTAGAATTGGTTGTCAGTTTTCTTCCATGCGAATCTTTCTTGAAATTATTATTATTTTTTTGCTTTCAGATTAAGGGATGGAGGCTTCGGTTAAAAGAAATTACGTCTATACTTTTTCTCATCTTTAACAGTTTAACTATGGAAAATTCTTACCTTAATCCTCAAATGATTACTGAACTTTTTGTCTCACACTGCAAATTTTCTGATCATCTGAATGTTAAGATCTCAACTGACGTTGCACATAAAAGGAAAGAATATGAGAAATTGAATATTTAGCGTTCAATTTTACAATAATAAATGAAAAAAATCTCAAAAATCAATTGGAAAGTACTACCTCCGATCCTAATTATAAGAGCTAGTTGACTAATTTGAGGAGATTAAGAAAGTAACTTGAGTTAGTTATTTGTCCTAAATAGGTGTTGTCTTTCTTAAAATATCCTTACTAATCAAATGTATTGGCTAGAACTACTATTATTATAAGGACTACTTTGAAAAAATATATATAAATATGAGAGACAAAGTGGATTGGGCTCTTATATTTATAATCAAAATAAAAATCAAACAAGGTCTTATATTAAGGACTGGAGGAAGTATTATTCTAGATATTAAATCTGTGATTAAATCAGTTGGGCTGTTGACTAGACTCGGTGGGTTGGTTTGGACTATGAGACTATTTTCATGGTCAAGCTAATGAGTTAGACAATAGTGGAGCTATCATTGAGCAAGAATCAGGAATTATATCAAGAACTGGAACAGTGTTTTAGAAAAACCGATTAATCCAGTCTTGGGACTGAAGGAAAAAATGATGAAAAATTAATAAAATTATTAAAAAAAATGACCCTCTCAAAAAGCGCGGCCAATATATTTTTAAAATAGTCCTGTGATGTTATTTTGCTGAAGACATCATGTATTGTGGTATTATTATGTTGATACCTGGACTTATTATTGATTTATTTCATATGTATATATATTTGTGCGTGTGTGTGTGCATATAGTTAAATTTTATTATATTATTATTTAATTATGACATCTGACCAGTTCAACCATGAGAAGCATGAATTACTGATTATTCCAGTTCTACATAGGATCCAACTTTTAGAACGTTCATATGATATCTATTATACTCCTCCGGTCCTAAATGTAAGACCCTTATACACACTAGTATAAGGGTCTTACATTTAGAATCGGAGGAGTATTAATTAATGTTATTGGCATTTAATATTAATTGTGCTATCTATCATTATTTTTAAGGGCACAAGAAAATTCCTAAATCTATAAAATTACATTATGCTTATGTCATTCTTTCTTTTTATTCAATTTATCAGATGACCCAGCCTTTAAATTAGAGGTTGGCCTAAATTGCATGTGCAATGGGAGGAAAAATTGTTATGTACTTATCATGTTACTTAAACTTTCACAAATATGAATAATTTGAATCAATCAAGCACTTAATACATTTTTACCTTTTATTTGTATCTGCATTGAGACATTAATTTATCTCTTCATAATCTCTGTCTACATTTTGGACAGATTTTAAAGTTAACATAATGACATAACTAGACTGAGAGCATATGTTGTGAAGTTGTGATATATCTCATGACACAAAAAAAAAAAATTCTCTCCGATTTCTAATATAGCAGCTAGAAGAGAATTAGATAACCTATAAGGATTTTTTTTAAAAAACCTTTTTCTCAATTTTTGACTGATTCACATTTAGTGGAGGTTTAACTTTTGTCAGGGCTCTGGATCATGACAGGACCAAACCAATATTTTCTGCAGGTTTAACCAGAAGCTCCTAGGTTTTGAAACGAGTTCTTGTTATGTTTTGTATTTTTTAATTATAATTATTATTTTTCACAATCCAACTTTTTTTTTTAAACAAAAAGTCAAAATATATTAGAGAAAACTAATCTCTCAATCCTTATAATTTTATTGAATTTTGAATCAGGTCCCTATATTTTTTTTTACTTTTTATTCGTCCTTATTATATGTTCTGTCATCTATTCAAGTCCCTCCATTTGTGAATCATTAATTCGCTGTTACTGGAGGCGATGTAGCCATCTTACTCAGCACAAGCATTGACACAAAAAGAAATATTGACATCAACTTTTTTCTTCGGTTATTCTCCCCTCTCTCCCCCACACCACTTTCTTCTCTCTCCTCCCCTCTCTCACCCCACATTCTTAGGGATTTTTCAATGATGAATCACAACGGCTTTTACTTTCTCCCTCTTCTTACTCTTCATCCTGCTCTCTCTCTATGCTTCCCCAAACTCTTATCCCCCACATCCCATCTCTCCTCTTCCTTCATTAACCCCTCCACAATCCTCCACCATTATAAATAACTTATTACACGTACCAAGTAAAATGGGTCAAGTAAAAAAAGATTGTAAACTCATTCTCTTTTTTATTGTCTAGTCGAAATTTCACTTCAACTATGGCTTTGCTTTTGAAGGTTGGGGACCGATTTGTACGGACTAGAGAAGACAAAATAATACTCCTCTGGTCCTTAATATAGGACCCAATTCTTGAGTTGATTTTGGTCATAAATATAAGACCCATTTCTCATATTTATTAATTTTCTCTAAATTACCCCTATGGATACTCTCTTAACCATAATCAAGTAGAAGAGGGAGGTGGGGTATTAAGAAAGATGATTATGGTGTTTTAGGAAAAATGTGTCACTTTTCCTATAATTAACTAACTTATCTAACTTCCTTAATCTAATCAAATTAGTTAAATGAATCTTATATTAAGGACCGGAGGAGTAGTATTTAACATGGTGGATATGGCCAGTGGTGCTGATATTGAGATGAAGTTTCTCCTTTTAGAACTTGCCATGAGTAGCTCAGATTGTGAAAGAGCGGTGGTGGTGAAAGTGGTGAAGAAGCCATAGGAGAAGAACTAAAGATGGAGATGGCCGAAGTCTGAAATAGAGGACAGTGTTTGTACCTTTTTATTTTCCTGTGGCTCTCTCCCCTATCGCATACCCAATTCCTTTCTAGTCTTTGTGCTTAGTAAGACAGCTATGTCACCCCACTAACGGCAAATTCGTATTTCATAGACAGAAGGACTTGCACAGGCAACAGAGCATATAATAAGGAGTGAATAAAAAGAAAAAAAAATGTAAGGACTTGATTCAAAATCTGATGTGACAGTAAGGACTGACAGATTAATTTTCCCAATATATTATTATCAAAAGAACAAAGAGACAACCAAACAAATAAAGATTCCTAAACTGAGCCATACAAATTTAAAATTATTAACCGTCAATGTCAATATCTTAATGGCCAACGTTAATTTTTTAATAGTGAAGGGTAATATTATTATATTTTAGACTTTCAAAACAAACTGAGTAAAAACTTTTAAAATAAATTTGCATCTTAACCCTTTATTTTATTAACAAGCTTCATACTTCTAACAAAAAAGTCGATCGCTGCGTGCATTGAGTTAGTAATTTTTGACAGAGTAGAAGAATTTTAATGAAATGAAGCTCTGATTATGGAAATTTCACACATGTACAGCAAGCACACAAATAATTAAATGACTTTGTATATATCATGCTATAACATAAGTACATATAGCAAAGGGATCTTGAGAGTGATGAATCAAAGGTCTGGGGTTTAGGACCCTCCAAATATATGACTTGACTACTCACTTTTTTCTCATTTCTCTTTGTTAAATTTCATCATTAAAAGTATTTGAAGGGATCAAATTAAAGTTGTGCAATGTAATTATAGCTCCTGGGGGGTTTTGGATCCTCCAAAAGCTGACTTGATCAGGTGTTTGAGATAGAGGCCAAGCAAAAGAACCACGAAGACTAACACAAGCTTGTTCACTACTTTCTCCTGATTCGTCAGCTCTGCAACCCAACCAACAATGGCGTCCTTGTAATCCTGAACTTGCATTGAACTCAGTCCTTCAGAAAATGAAGCCCTTCTTCTGGATTCTGCTTCTTGCTTATGACGGTCTTCTGTTTCTCGGGCTTTTGCTTTTGCTTCCTCCACCAATTCTTTCCCTGCTGGATTGATTTGTGTGTTAATTATTATATATAACATTGGGCTATTAACTAAAAAAGTATATATATGGATTAGCATTGATTAATTATCAGAAAATTTATGGATTTTATCCAATAATCAGTTTTTTAAAAATATTAAGCCTGTTGTTGAATAATATTGTTTTAGATTGAGTAAGTATAGTGATTCAAATGAAATTAGGGAAAAAAAAAAGCTCTTGAATTTTGATTATCTAATAATTAAAAGGAAAAAAAATAAAATACCTTAAAAATTGCTAAATGACAAATTCGGAATTACCACAAAACTGTATTCAATTGCCAATTAAATGTAATAAACAAAACTGATTTGAAATTTTAAAATTCAAGAGGCATTTTTTGGGATTTTTTCTAATTAAAAATTCCTCTATTTTAATTTCATTATATAGTATTTCAGAATCCATTTTATTGTTTAGATATATGTTTAAGTGTTTATAAATAATTATGGCAAAAAAAAATTGAATTCGTGTTTGTGTGTGTGATTGATTTAACTAGTTTCTCGGTAATATTGTTTTGTATATTAAGAATGAGTAAGTTTTCAATTTCTAAATTATAGGAGTATTTAATTTAACTTAAAAATTTTATATTTTTACCTTTTGGAATGTCTTCCTTCTTCTGCTCTTCTTTTGGTGGTTCTTTCCCCTTCTGTTCCATCATTGTCTCATCCTTCTTTTCAGGCTTCTTTTCTATTGCTTGGTCTGCTTTTGGTTCCCCTCTCGGCGGAGGTGGCGGTGGAGAAGGAGGAGGTGGCGGTGGAGGAGAAGGTGGCGGTGGAGCTTGTTGGGTCGGCGGCTGCGGTGGCTGGGGAGGGATAACAGGAGTGATGAGCTTTGGAAACTTGACATACAAAGTGCCTCTCTCAAACTTGGCTGCAATTTCGTTTGTGTCTGAATCTGATGGGATTGGTAATTCCATGTAAAAACGACTCCATTTGTTGTCATCTATTTGTCGTTCACCACTTATCCTGACCTTTCGTGATGATGATATTTGAACCTTTAATTGGCTCCTTGAAAATCCTGCTAGTCACAAATCCAAATTAAGCCTTCAATATTTTCCAAAAAAAAAAAAAATTGGGACTTAGAGACAAATTAAAACACGTTCACATCAAATGATGACAAATTACTTGTAAAGATATTCAGACTAAAGACAAAATAATAAAAAATTATCTGGGGTGGTTTAAACATGTATTAAATGCATGACTGAGGAAGACAGATCAAACAAATAACATAGAATTTTTTAAGAAGTGATAGAAGAACACTGAAATAATACTTAAGGACACTATTAATTTATCAAAAGATTTGTTTACTGATAAAACACGATAACAACGTATGACTCGTATGGTTAAATTTATCCAAAAAAATATGAAAAAGGCAAATATAAGAACCTTCAAGAGGAATAACGAGAGTGTCACTTCGTTCATCACGAGCCCACTCATAAGGAGGTCGAAGATCTTCATAAAGACGGATTTGTGCCATTAATGATTATTGAAGATGAGATAAAGATCTCTTTCGAAGAAGCAGTGATGAAATGAGAAAGAAACTATGAAAGATTTGATTTGGTTTCGTGGCTTTTTATAATACACAAAAGAAGAATATTAAAATCATCATAGGAGGCTTCTATTTGTGTGTTTTCTTTGAATATTCATGTCGTAGCTTGTTCTTTCTTTTTCGTGACATACAAAGATACTTTAATTGTGTTTATTAAAGAGGGTGACTTCTCTGTTAGGCAGTCCATTGTCCAACACCTTCAAGAAAATATATGTGCAAATTCTTTTCCTTTGAATTGAGCTTTCACGTTATTCTTTTCCGCTATAAGAATAATGATATGCTAGCCTGCATGTTGTACACGTGCATATTTTTATTAATTTTCAAATATAGTATGGTCAATTATCTATCTATTACTCGGAATTATGTAAATTAAAAAGTCAGTAAAATTGATCATAGATAATATATATGTTAAAAAAATATAACTTCTTTCCTAAAAGCAATGTTATTGATGGGGCTAGAGAGAATGAGTGAGAGAGAGAGAGACTGACCAATGTTTCTTAATTTAGAGGGAGTTATCATATATATAGGATTGGAAGGAGTATTTCTTAAATTATAAAATGATTAAAACTATAAGGATGGAGTTACAACGAGTCAAAATTTAATGACTTAGTTATGTTAAATCAAAATGCATAGACTAAGCTACAAACAAGTCAAAACTGTGGGGATCAAAAGATTTTTTTTTTTTTTTTCAATTAGGACCCGTGCCTATTGATGCTTAGCTCTCTAGCACCTTTTTTTTTTTTTTGGTTACATATAAATTTGAGTGAGTTGGGTCTCAAGAGCTTTCTAAAACCAGGGCATGTCTCAAAACTTAAAAAGTATATACAGAGATACTTACAGATCACCCATCAATAAGGCTCTCATATCCGCAACAGGATTTAAATTTAGAATCTTATAAATTATGAGTGGACTCCTTACCAACCAAATAAACTTGTATTGGTTGACTCCCTAACTAGGTTATCAAGTAGTTATGTAATTAAGTGGGCTTTAAACTATGGGCCCAATCAACCGAATGGGCCCGTTAATGGATCTAACTGTAAGTAAACTAATAAAGACTTTCTGATCAATTCTTTTTAAAATTCAAAACTACGGCTTACCCTTTCGGCGCCAAAGATGGCAAGCTTCCAATGAGAATATTCTAAGTTTATTCCCTTTTATTCATATGCAGACACTTTAATAATAATTAATAATCGCCAACTTTTCATATTCAAACACATTGAACTTCTCACGAGAACACATCATTACGTACTTGCATGCAATGTTGACTTACAAAATTAAAGGAAATAAATTTCACATTTAATGAACAAATTTCATTTACAATAGGAGTATAGTTTATGAAGTAGCAGTACATGATAACTTATGAATCAGCAAACTTGTTTCAGATTTTTGTAGTGGAGGTAGCCGGAAGGAGCCGTTAAAAATAACTTTTTAATTATGATTTATGTGAGTTTGTGAGGAAAATTTTACCTTAATTTATATAAAAATACTTATAAATACTTTAAAAAAAGGTAGATCCGATCGAGTAAAGACCATCAAAATATAGCTAAGTTTGCTATAAAGAGAAAAATACATTTAGTGATTGCTCGATATATTATCATTGGATTATACTTACACTTTTTATTTGTAGACTTCAATTATCTCAATTTTGTATATGTTGTTTAATAACTTATAATTGGATTCACAATTACAATTTGTCAGAGTTTAATTAAAATATAAAAATATTCATATATAATCTGGAAAATAATAAAATTTAAATAAAAGGTATTAATTTACAAGTAAGTACAACATTAATATATAAACCACACATAATCTCACGAAACTAATTTATTAAAGCACAAAAATTTGACAGACTATTATTATTATTATTATTGTTGTTGTTGTTGTTGTTCAAAACTCGACACGACATAGTTTTAGGCTTAACAAAGAAGAAAAAATATAAAATTAAATCCGACTGACTTATCTAAAACCTTAGATTGGACCAATCAAGAAGAAACTGGTTCATTGATCTAATTGGCTGAAAATCCAAGTTAAGCCTTAATACCATGAGATAATTTATATAAATTTAATTTCATTATTAACCAAAGCAATAACAAAGTGGATTAATAAATTCAACGTTTACTGCATAAAACTCTTTTACCATAAACCATTCATAATAAAACTGAAATTACAACCAAAACTGAATTGGCCGAACTGATCAAAATCACAATATATCAGTATCTTTTTCACTGGATTAATTGAAAATGAAAAAAAGACAGAGATCCAAGACGTAAAGAACTCCCAAAACTGATCCAAGAACATGAAATATAACGATCCAATAGTAAGTAAGGATCGTGATCAATTAATTAAGCAGCAACGGGGGCCATGGATTCTCTCTGAACAGCCTTCAAGAGGAGACTATCAGCTTCAAGAGCCATCTGAAGAGGAACAAAGCCAATGCCATTAGCCATAGCAATCATCATCTTCTTCGTCTCCTCTTTGAACTCTCTCAGATCAACTCTTCCATTCAAGTCATGATCGAACTGAACAAACAGTGAGTCATAAACTCGAGCAGCTTCGTCTTCTTCCGTCTTCACGTCGATCCCAAAGTGAGTCTCGAAAACCCTAAGCCTCTTCAACTCGTTCAGCATCTCACCATAAGAAAGAAGACCGTCCTTGTCTGTATCAAGTTGGCCAAACAGATCACTCACTGATATGTCAAATGCTTCTTCGTCTTCCACAAAGCTCACTATTGTGGCACCGTCGAGAATTTCTACGCTCATGTTTTTGCCTGTAACGAAGAGAGAAAGGGATATTCGAAATGTGTTTGTGTTTGATGAGAAGTTTGGAAACGCTGGAGGCATTTATATAGATTGCAGCAAAAGTAGTTTCCTTGCTTTCGGTTTTCTCAATGCCAAAGCTTGCATGGTTTGTGACCGTTGGTTGAGCTTTTTTGGTCAAAGTTTCTCAATATATTCCTAGTTTAGTTAACACCGACTTGCTTTGATGATTCCCATGGATTCAGTTGTATTGTCATTGTCGGAACACGACTGTCAAAGCTGTGACTATTCAAGTCATTTTTTAATCTTTGTACTACTTGACTTTAATTTTTTTATTAGTTTTTTTTTGGCCAAAAGAAGTTTTTTATTAGTAGAAGTATAAAAAATTAGATAAAATCTTAGGGACTTAAGCGTTACATAGTTAAGTTGCTTGTATCTAATGAGATCATGATATATGGATTTTTTATACATTATTTATTTTTTAACAAGCTCTTGTTATTGATATTTTTTATACTTTAAAATATACTCGTTTTAATTTGATTGGACAAAATATATTAAGTAAATAAGAGTAAGTACATAAGTCTTCTCCTTAAAAATTAGTATAAAAAAGATCATACATGAGTATAAGATTCAATTAACCGAATTATGTTTTGGCAAAAAAAAAAAAAATTGGTCGGTTTAAGAAATCTATTTATATCAGTCAGAAGTAATTAGTTAAAGTGTATATTTGGTCTTTTATTTTTATAAAAATTTTAATTTGGCCTCTTCATTTTAAAAGACATATTTTTAATCCTTTAATCGTAAAATTATTAGTCTTAAAAGATGATACTTGTAGTTGTCATTATTATTTTGAAAATTAAACTTAATATATGGACATGTAGGAATATTTTATCAAAATCTAAGATCTCGATGTCATTATTTTTTAATTAAAGGTTTGAGGGTTAAATGACTAAAAGCATAGTAGTTTTTAAAGTTAATGCACTAAATCAAAATTTTGTATAAAGTTAAATAACTAAAAGTATACTTTAGCCAAAGTAATACTACCTCTTGTTCTTAATATAAGAGTTCGTTTGACTTTTATTTTGGTTCTAGATATAAAACTCTAATCTACTTTATCTTTTATATTTATCCTTTTTTTAAAGTAATCTTTGTAATAATAGTAGTTCTAGTAAATATACTTGATTAATAATAATATTTTATGAAAGATAACACATATCTATTACAAATAACTAACTAAACTAATTTTTTTAATATAATCAAATTAGTCTACTAGCTCTTATATTAAAGACTGGAAGTAGTAATATGTAAGAAATGCATTCCCCCACCTATGTCTTTATTTATAAGAGAATAAGTGAGAAAAAATATTAAGAAAAAAGATAAAAGATAATACAATTAATTAGAAATATATTTAATAAAAATGTTTTTAATATAAGACCCACAAGAGGTAGGAGTAATTAAACAGTCATTATATTAATTATTATTACCCAAAATGGCCCACATGCATATATTTGCAAATGACATAGCTAGGGTGACATATATTGAGCCATAAAAAGTAAAAACAGGAAGCCTCAAAGGCATTAATTACGCGTCAATTTTTTGACGCATACGTTCTCTGAGATCTGGAGCCTTAAAATGACGGCATTGGAAAGTTCGCAATACTGAGGAAACCCTGGGGCAGGATCAGGTGCGAGCACTCCTTTTCGCCATTCAGCGGGCTGCCAATGCTCAAAATCAGTTGGCTTCATGGTTCCCGCGTGGAAGTCAACACCTCACGAAAATTGGCGAGACCACCATGAACCCCTAACCACATGGGCGCACACCCACAAAAGAAGCAATCGCGAAAACCCACTGATTATTTCTCAATTTCTGTGCTTTGTATTTATTGCCAAATAATCTTCAGTTCCTATTTATAAATTATTCTCATCATACTTTATATAGATCAAAGATAATTTTAAATTTTATTGACTCTCATTTAAAATTTAATATCTTTTTAAAAAGATATTAGTTAAAGGAAAATTATAGTCCAAAATTTGAGATATTGTTAGGATAATTAATGTGATTTTTTTCTTTTACTTTCACTCCTATTAAATGTAGGGAAAAGAAATGAGATATAATAAAAGTGTAATATTAGAGACAACTTTATTATTTTTAGGGGTAAAATAAAAATAAAACTTTATCATTGTAGGATGCTTTTAATGATTAAACTTTTATTTCTTGTCATGTAAAAAGAGTTAACTAACTTCTTGTATTGTGGACCAAAAAGAGTATAAGAATAACTTAATTAACTTGGATAGATTAAAAAATAAATTGACTTAATTGTTTGTAAGAAATATGAGTTAATTTTTTTAAAATATCTTTTAATCATCAGCTTCTCTAAATAAAAAATTATTAATATGTAGGATTAATAGGATAAAAGAAGAAGTTGAGAATGGATCTTCCCTGTCCTGGTAAGGGGCCCATGCTCAGGCAGGCCACCTTATCACGACTCTCTTGATGGATCTAACTATTATATAAAGACTCTCCATTAATTTATTTTTATAGGTCAAAAAGTTTATTCCTTTTTTATCATATGCAGACCCTTTAATTTAACACTGTGTGTCTTTAATATAAGAGTTAGATAAGTAATTTTGTAAATATTAAAATATTAATTAAATTAATTATTTATAATAAATAAGTATTGTATCTTTTTAAAATATATTTTTTAATACTATACATTCTCACTATTTTTTAATGAAATCTTGAATATGTGCAATCAATGTAGTGACTTTTTTTTCAAAAAAAAATAATAAATATGATGTGAGACAAAGTATATTAAATTATAATCAAATTGAATTTATAACTAGTTTTTATATTTAGAGAAGGGAGTAATAATTAATAATATTGGCGAAATTTTTCATGTTTCAAACACAAGAACGTCTCGCCAGAACACAGAATTACGTACTTGCATGCAATGTTGACTTAAAAAAGGAAATAAATTTCATTTAGTGAGTAATATAATTTATGAAGTATTAATGATAACTGATATGAATCAGTTTATTTGTTTGTTGTAAAAGTGGAAAATACATAGAGCCAGTGCTCAGAGTTCATACTAATATAGGAACTCATATTAATATAAGAGCTAGTTGAAGATTTAATCTGATCTTAAATCTAAGATATTAATCTATGTTGCATTCAATAATTAACCCTTTTGCTCCTCAGTAATTTCATGGTATTTCAATGCACATGACCGATAGGGATATTTTAGAAAAGACAACATCTATTTATTACAAATAACTAATTTAATTAATTTTTTTAATATTTATAAATTAGTTATCTAGTTCTTATATCAAGAACCGGCGGAAATAGTATTATACTTTACTTACATTTTTTTAGAGACTTTAATTTTCTCAATTTCGTATGGTATCTATAACTTTTAATTGGATTGTTAATTGCCCTTTGTCATAGTTAGTCTAAATTATAAAGTTATTTGGTTTCGGGGTGAGCGGTCTAGTTGAACCAGTGTAAACCCAGTTAGGACTGAAATAATATGTTTTGATTAAAATATAAAAGATATGTATATATAACCCTAAGAAGTAATATTTATAGATAAAATATATTAATTCCCAAGTAAATAAAACATTTATGTATAAACCACACATAATTTAGCAAAACAAAATTATTAAAAAATAAATTTGATAAATTGTTGCTTTTTTCAAAACTCAAAATGATGTTATTGCAGGCTTAAAAAAGGAGAAAAAATATAAAATTAAATCCAGTTAACCTGTTTAAACTTCTGATTAGATCAGTCAAGAGATTGGCTCACCAATGTGATTGGCCGACGGATGACTGAAGTTGGGTTTTAATAACACACAATAAATATAGATTTAGGCTCTGTTTGGATGTTCTTCCAAACCATGGTTTAGGAAAAAAAAAAAACCAACCAAACAGGGACAGAAAATGTGAAACCATGGTTTGGGCAGAAGTGATTTGAAGTTGCTTCTGGCTCAAATTTTCCAGACATTGGTGTGGGCCCAATAGCATATGACAAAGTAGCCCCCATAATTGATGCCTCACTCTTCATTCCACACTCGGTTCTTTACTATTTAATCTTATAATTTATAAATATATATACACATATTAATTATTTATTAGTTATATTATCTTATATATTATTAATTATGTTAGTAAAAATTATTTTATTAACAATTTTATTTCTTCAAATCAAAATATATTATAAAATCTATCCCTTATATAATTATAATATTAATTTATGCCCTTTTTAGTAATTTGCACAAATAAAAAGTGCTTCTGGTAACAACAATCCAAACACTCTCACTTCTCAGAATCACTTTTTCATAAAATCTATTCTCTCCAGAATCTATTTTCCAGAAACTATTCTCCAAACCATGGTTTAGTTTTATCCAAACACACCCTTAATTTCATAAATGGTCATCGGAGCAACAAAGTGGATTAATAAACTGAACGTTTACATAAAAGTCTTACCATAAACCAAATTCATGAGAAAACTGAAAACTAAAATTGAATCGGCCGGATCAAAATTAAATCACAATACATCCGTATCTTTTTCACTGGATTAATTGAAAAAGATAAAATTGAAAGAGATCCAAAACTCAATTAAAGAACTTCCAAAACTGATCCAAAAACATAAATATAACGATGCAATAGTAAATAGAGGATCGAGATCAATTAATTAAGCAGCAAGGGGAGCCATGGATTCTCTCTGAACAGCCTTCAACAGGAGACTATCAGCTTCAAGAGCCATCTGAAGAGGAACAAAGCCAATGCCATTAGCCATAGCAATCATCATCTTCTTCGTCTCCTCTTTGAACTCTCTCAGATCGACTCTTCCATTCAAGTCATGATCGAACTGCACGAACAGTGAGTCATAAACTCGAGCAGCTTCGTCTTCTTCAGTCTTCACGTCGATCCCAAAGTGAGTCTCAAAAACCCTAAGCCTCTTCAACTCGTTCAGCATCTCGCCATAAGATAGAAGACCGTCCTTGTCCGTATCAAGTTGGCCAAACAGATCACCCACTGATATGTCAAATGCTTCTTCGTCTTCCACGAAGCTCACTATTGTGGCACCGTCGAGGATTTCTACGCTCATCTTTGTGCCTATAACGAAGAGAGAAAGGAATATTTGAAATGTGTGTTTAATGTTTGTGTTTGATGAGAAGTTTGGAAACGTTGGAGGCATTTATATAGATTGCAGCAAAAGTAGTTTCCTTGCTTTCGGTTTTCTCGATGCCAAAGCTCGCATGGTTTGTGACTGCTGTTGAGCTTTTTTGGTCAAAGTTTCTCGATATACTCCTAGATACGACCGACTTACTTTAATAATTCCTATGGATGCAGTTGTATTGTCTTGTCGGAACTCACGACTGTCAAAACTGTCACTATTCCAGTAATTTTTTAATCTTTATAGTGCTTAACTTTGATTTTTTTTAGTACTGGAAATATAAAAAATTATACAAAATCTTACGGACTTAAGCCTGACATAGTTAAGTTGCTTGTATCTAATTAAATCATGACATGTGGATCTTTTATGCATTATTTATTTTCTAACAAGCTCTTGTCATTATATTATTTATACTTTAAAATATGCTCCTTTTAATTTGAGTGGACAAAATATATTAAATAAATAAAACTAAGTGCACAAGTCTTCTCCTTAAAAATTAGTATAAAAAAGATCATATATGAGCACTGAAAAAATCAACTCAATAATTTTAACTCCACTCAAGGAAATTTTAAATTTTCAAAATTTAATATCCTTATATAATTGTAATTGACATTCTTTAAATCATTTGCCCTTTTCAGAGGATTACAAGAGAGTTTTATGATAGGCTTATTTTTGAAAAAGTATATATGGCAAATCAACAAATTTACTTATTTTTTAAACTCTATGAATTAGTACCACTGGTCCTTTTTTATAAGATTCAATTAACCAAATTGTGTTTTGACCCACAAAAAGAAAACCAAATTGTGTGGTTTAAGAAATCTATTTATATCAGTCAAAAGTAACAAGCTAAAGTATACATTCAATTCTTGATTTTTATAAAAGTTTTAATTTGATCTTTCAATTTTAAAAAGCATATTTTTAGTCCTTTAACTATAAAATTACTAGTTTTAAATGATGATATTTTGTAGTTATCAATGTTGTTTTAAAAATTAAACTTAATATATATATATTTGAGAATGTTTTATCAACATTCAAGATCTTAATATCATCATTTTTGTATTAAAGGTTTGAGGGTTAAATAACTAAAAATATACTTTTTAAAATTAATAGACTAAATTGAAACTTTGTATAAAATTAAATAAGAAAAAAAATAAAAAAAAGACCTTAGAAGTAAAAAAATTACAAATAGAGACCCATTATAATATTAGTATAGGTTTTGGCAATAATTGATAAGTAAATGCCAATAAGTTTTATGAACAAATCCCTGTATGAAAATCTTCAAATTTCAAGGTCTTTTTTATGATTTTTCCATTAAATAACTAAAAGCATATTTTAGTCAAAGTAGTAATACTACTTCCGATCCTATTTATAAAACCTTATTTGTAGACTATGAATAAAGTCTTATAATTATGACCAAAGGTAATATATAAGAAATGTACTCCTCCAACTATGCCTTTATTTATAAGAGAATAAGTGAGGAAAAATATTAAGAAAAAAAAAAAGAGAATGTATGAGGAAAAAATAATACAATTAATTAGAAATAAATTTAATAAAAATGCTTTTAATATTCAGACAACTTCAATTGATCGGATGAATTGAAAAATTTTGATATTATAAGATGGATTGGAGGCAGGTGTAATTAAGTAGTCATTATACTATCTCTAGTCTTTAATATAAAAGCTAGTTGACTAATTTGAATAAATTAAGAAAATTAGTTAAATTAGTTATTTGTAATATATAAGTGTTGTTTTTCCTAAAATATCCTTGTTAATCAAATGTATTGACTAGAATTATTATTATAAGAATTATCTTGAAAAAATAGATAAATATGAGAGATAAAGTGGATTAAAGTTTCATATTGAAGATCAAAAATAAAAGTGAGATAAATTTTTATATTAAAGATCGGAGGTAATATTAATTAATTATTAACATGGGAAGGAGGGACACTTGACATAGCTAGGGTGAGAGGATAATTAATTTAGATAAAGTCCCTGAAAATCCCCAAATTCTTCCTAAGTCCCCAGGGACTTATGTGTAATAAATTGCAATTGTAAAAAGTCTGTTATGCCCTTATTGATTGAAAAAAGAAAAAACAGAGGGAAAGTTTCAGTTTGTGTGCCGGTGCTGCACGTATGAGGAAGAAGGGCTTCTGAAAGAAGGAACAAAGGTCTGCGTTGGTGCTCCATTATTCCAGGAAAGCTATATTTTTTCTTCATCTTCTTGGTAGGTCTCATTAGTAACAAGATTTCTTTTTTTCGTACACAACCAATCTCAAGTTTAATGTTGGTTTGAGAAGTTGATTGGCTATGGGTGTGTGCGTATTAAGAATGTGATTTAACTCACTTGAACTATCAAGGAAAGCTCATTTTAGTCATATATGGTTTTAATCATCTTAGGTGTGGTTTTGTTATGTGTGGTTAGGGTTATAAAGCAATACTCTGTTTTTGGGTGAAAGATGCTCTGTTTTTCGGTGACTGATGCTGTGTTGCTGATGAAAAAGAATGAAAATGACAGATTTTTACTGTTATAACCCCCTGTAATGCGATGGTTAAATGTCTTGTTAATGGGTATATCGAAGGTTGTTAATGTAACTGTATGACTTGTCATTAACGAGTGATTGTGACAGGTTGATATGAAGGATAACAACTTCAAGTGGGAAGCATTTGTTTTGTTACCTTCATATAGGGGGACAATTTATTGATGGTGTAAAAGGTGAAATGTAGTATGTTGGAGGTGGTGTGAGAACAAAAATAATAAAGAAAAGCACATCATATAAAGAATTTAGAACAATGGTAGCATCAATTATGGGGAAAGAAAGCAATGGAACGGTTATCAAATTCACAGTAACCTTTGATGAGTTTACATTTGTGCACCTTATCGATAAAATGTAAATTTGGTGTAGTTCCATTGTACATATATATATCAAATGGTAAATGACATCTGGTTGTAATATGATATAATATCATATCCGTATTTTGATGTACTTGTTAATAGGCTGTAATGGACTTGTTATCAGACGCTGTGGATATTGTCATTAGCAGTCTAAATTGTATTACTGATATAAAGTGACAATTTCTCCTACTTGCAGTGGTAAGTGATTTCTTAACACATGATATGATGAAAACGCTGAAAAGAATTGGTTTTGATAAATTGTCAATTAATGCATACTGATTATTTGTTATTCACTACTGTCAAAGTTGTTAAAGCTTACTGAATACTTGTCATTCACTACTGTCAAGATTGTCAATGCCTACTGATTACTTGTCATTCACTACTGTCAAGGTTGTTAAAGCCTGCTGATTACTTGTCATTCAATACTATCAAGGTTATTAATGCCTACTGATTACTTGTCATTCACTACCATCAAAGTTGTTCCTTTTTTTTTGTTTCCTTTTTGCAGAGAGATTGTTTCTACCAAATTCTTTATAGAGTGAAGCTAGCACTATTTGACAAAAACAACAAAATTGACAAGGAAGTCACATGACTTGAAGGTTGGATGCTTATAGTGAGTTGTAACTCATAGGAACAACCTGCATAGTGATCAAGTGTTGTCTTTACTATGAGGAAACCCCCAAAGCAAGAGGAAGAAATAAACAACCAACATATATTGTATTTAATTTTTTCATTTGATACCATAATGACAGCTAAATGTAAACATCACATTTTGTTTTTTCATTTAACAGTATAATGACAACTGAAAGTAAAATTCAGATTTTGTTTTTTTTATTTGACCATATAATGATAGCTTAATGTTAAGTTATATTAATATGATTGGCATCATTTCCTAGTTATGAAGTTGTTGTAATGGCATTCATGTGTTTTGATAAACACAAAATTCCTTATTCCAAACCTGAATCATGTCTAGAAATGAAGACTTAATAAAAGGGGATAAACAAATGTCAACCATGATGACATGATAGGTATATATCACAATCCTCTCTGCCAGATCTATTTACAACCTCAACGGCATCTATTGATAACCTGAGGGAAAGTGCTTAACAACCTTAGCAGTGCTCCTGACAATTCACTATATGGGATGCCACGGTTTCTTAAAAAAATTATATTATTAGCACATATGATTAACTTAACAATATAATGGGAGGCATTTTGAAGTCATTAATAGTTTTAAGTAAACCCAGCAGGATTACGGCACATTTTTATTGTTGATATTCATTTACAACCTTAGCAGTGATTGTTGACAACCTGAGAAGAAGTAGTTAACAACCTCAGCAGTGTCCCTGACAACTCACTTTATCGGATACCACAGCTTCTAAAAATTGTATTATCAACACATATAATGACCTTAACAATATAATGTGAGGTATTTTGAAGTTATTAACAGCTGTAACTGAACCCAATAGGATTACAACAGATTTTTATTGTAGAGATTCATTTACAACCTTAATGGCGATTGTTGACAATATGAGGAGAAGTGGTTAACAACCTCGGCAGTGCCCTTGACAACTCACACTGTTGGATATCACAGCCTCAACATAGCATCAAATTATAACAAAATGATATCATGTTACAATTTTAACTCAACAATCATGTGTTAAGAAATTATTGAACATTGCAAGTAGGAGAAATTGTCACTTTATATCAGTAACATAATTCAGACTACTAATAACAACCTCCACAGCGTCTGATAACAAGTCCATTACAACCTATTGACAAGTACATCAAAATACAGATATGATGTTATGTCAGATTACAACCAGATATCATTTACCACTTGATATATCTGTACAATATAATTACACCAAATTTACAACCCATTAGAAAAAGCACACAGGTTGCATGTATGGATAATGACGGATAACTTGAGGGGTGAGTTATGATATTTACAAAACAATTATGTCACAAACATTCACAAAAAGAAATATAAACAAGCCACCAACAAAGCTCAACTTGGATTGGAGTTCTGGCAAGTCT